TGAGGAGTAGTCACTCATCGTTGTTTCTTTTTGATGCATCCATGAGGTTTCCGATATGTATAGATGTATGGCTATCGCTAATCGCTCTACTTCTAAGATAAATTAAATTGTTGTAGGTTTTTATTTTTTGATATATTTCTTGTATACGTATGTATGCTTCTTTTGCGTTAGTCTCCTTTTTCAATAAAATTATTACGTTATCGAAAAAGAAAAAGGAAGATCCATAAGATTTATCTGTTCACAGAAAGTAAGTACTAGTGGTAGTGTGCCTTAATTGCCTGACCTTGATTTCCCAGTCTTCCTAGGCTGTATTCAACTGAATTCAATGCGCATTGCATTATTTATTTTTTTGATAATCGAGAAATTCGTCTGATATCAATCGTTAGAATCAATCACAATTTTTGAAATTTTGAAATAATAGGCCCATTAAACTTAGTTCGCATGAGGCAGGACTCGAACTCGTCCAAGTCACAAGTTAACTTTTACTATCATTTAGAACCAAGACGCGGACTATTGCTTATATTATTCTGCTTAATACTCCCTCCGTCCCTTTTTAGTTGTCCACTTTAGAAATGACACACAGATTAAGGCAACAATGATTAGCACAGTAAAGTTACAATTTTACCCTTATGACAACTTTTCACTTCAAAATTACAACCACTTATTTGAATTAAAATGAAATAAATTGGAGGGAAACAACATACACTTTTACAATTTTCAAGAAGTGTAAAAAAGGGTATAATAGGAAAAAAATTGTTTTCCTTTCTTGATTTGTCAAAATGGACAACTAAATAGGGACAACTAAAAAAGGAAATATGGACAAGTAAATAGGGACGGAGGGAGTACTTCTTGTGTTTTATATTATTTGATCCATATTGATCTAACACGTCTCATAAGAAAGATTTAATTAAGGATATATTTTACTAAACTAATATTATTAGTGATGCTTTGAGTTCTAAAATTGACCACTAGAAATACTACTTTATATTGTTTTTAATATTAAGGGATAGTATAATAAGAAGTACTCCCTTTGTCCAACAATACTTGTCTACTTTTGATTTTACATGTTTTTCTTAAGAAACTATAAATAGAAAGGCATTTGAAAATAATAAATACAATATTTTGAAAAATGTAATAGGGAAATGACTTTAATTAATGATAAGGGTTAATTAGGGACTAAGTGTAAAATTATCCATTGATTTCATAAAGTGGACAAATATTATTGGACATCCCAAAATAGTATAGTGGACAACTATTGTTGAACAGAGAGAGTAAAAAAACTCGTGTTAAATGTAATAAAAGTCTTGTGATTTGCTAAGTTGACAAGTACTTCCTCCATTCACTTTTATTTGTTCACTTTCAACTTTGCAGGTCCTTAAAACATATATATATTTCTTATGTCCCTAATTACTTGTCCACTTTTGAATTGACACGCCTATTAAGAAAACAATGATTGACATAATGAGTTTATCATTTTACCTCTATTAATTATGAAGTGGATGAATTAAAAATTTAAAATTTTCAAGAAATTCTACCTTTTTCAAAGTAATTGATTGAGGGTATAATAGATAAAAAAAAATTGTCCTTTCTTGATTTGTCGAAATGGACAAGTAAAAAAGAATTGAACAAGTAATTAGGAACAGAGAGAGTAATACTCTAATAGTTGATATGAGTATTTTAATGTAATACCATATTAATTGATGTTTAGTGTTAAATTTTAGAAAATAAAGAATTAATACAAAGAGTAAAACATGATTTTTTTATTATATATATATATATGAAAGTGACAAATAAACATGAAAATCTATATTTGAAATAGCAAACAAGTAAAAATAAACATAAAATATCTATTTTTGATACACGAGTCAAGTAAAATAAAACAACAAACAACTATGTTACTTATATTCTGAAATTGAATAGCGAAAACCTCAAGAATTTGAAAAGGGTAAGAAAGAAGCATGCATTTAATGCAACTTTCTTGTTCTATTACGTCAATCATTCAATTTTTTTTAATGGTTACATTTATGCAATGGTAGTAAACAGTAGTATTTATTTTGTTTTCCATCTGGTGATCAGTACCCACATTGAAGTCGTTTAAATCTGAAAATGCGCCGTCAAGTCCCACATTAGAAGATCCGACGGTCCATAGCCAGAGAGACTCAAATGTGAGACTCCTAAATTAAGAACAAAGGAATACTTATCACTCTATCACAATCCTTATCAGTGTAAATTGTAGTATTTGTGTAAGCACATCATGTCATTTAATGTGTAGCCGGCTATGGAGTTGCTGATACTTCTTACACTCTATCTACTGTCCTACTCCATTTGATAGGTCAATTTTCTTACTTTTCCCTCTCCTAGGAACACTCATCTCTTCTTTTTTTTTAAACTTAAAAGTTAAAAAACTTGACTTTTTGTTGATCATTGACAAGTAAATTTTAGTTTGTGTGTGTGTATGTGTATGAAAGAGAGGAATGGGGAGAACACCATGTTGTGATAAAAATGGTCTAACTAGAGGACCTTGGACCCCTGAAGAAGATGAAAAACTTATTCAATTTATCAACAAGAATGGTCATGGTAGTTGGCGTTCACTACCAAAACTTGCAGGTCTATTTCACTACTCTTCTCATATTCCATGTTACTTTTATCCCTTTCTTGTCCCAACTCTCCGCTGCATCTGTGTCGGATCCTCTAAAAATGCACTATTATGACATTTTTGAAGAGTCTGAGCAACGTAGCATTTAACCATTTTGCCTCCTACCTCAATGAGTAACAGGGGATTAGTTTCAATTTTCTCCTATGTGTTATTTTTTTTATTCAGTTTAATGACAATAATATTTGTTTTCCAGTCATCTAGCTTATGGTTTCATTGGCTTTGCTGAACTCTACAATGTTATAAATTTCATTTATTTGATGTAAAAAAAGAAAGGAAATAGAAAGGGGTACTTTGATGTTTTCTTTCTTTTGGTGTGAAAGAAACCAATTTACCCTTTGATGAACATTAATGTTCTTCCAATTTTTCATGTGATACTAATATGGAAAGGTGATTCTTTTACTCTTGATCTTACTTTTCTGTTTTACTGAATGACATAAATTACCCCTTGCAATTCACTAGTACTTCAAAGTGCTGTTCTACTTTTACCCCTAATCATCAAAATAGTTAAAATTTTCCTTCTGGAGATGCTCTCTTTTTTCTTTTCACTTAAGGTCAAATTGGGAACTCAGTAAAGATGTTAAACTAGTGGGAATTGTTCCTTGTTTAAGGCTGCCTTTGGTATTCTTTTGTTGCAGTTATCATTAGGAAGTCTTTGTTTCTCTTCTCCATGTGTACACTATGAATGTTGACCTAATCGATCGATGATTTATCGAAAGACACTTACAATGTTGGGCTCAACACATATCCTCTTATGTGAAAATGTGCCAATTTTCTATGTAGGTGCCAAATGTTACCCGAGTGAACTAGCCTCGAGCGTGCTGGTTCACTGTTTCCAGCCTAGTTACAGTTTCCTGGCTAATACCATAGTTCTTTGGTTATTGTAACCAGCTTGAGCAGCTGATATTGTGTTAATGACTAATGCTGTTAGTAGGAGAGTTTAGAATGATAGACAAATATTATAAAATGGTAACATTGGTCTCTATGGTATCATAACCTCATAGTTTGCCTGAATTCTTGTCAACTGTTTTCCACTTTTTCACTAACAGGTCTTCTTCGTTGTGGGAAAAGTTGTCGTCTTAGATGGACGAATTATCTAAGGCCAAACATCATACGAGGTCCTTTTAGCCCCGAAGAACAGAAGCTTGTCATACAGTTACATGGCATTCTTGGAAACAGGTTGGTTTTTGCCTTATGTAGTTGCATGCTTAACTTCTAATATTTCTTAGTACACGTTTATGTAATGTAAAAAACACTATAAGCATCATTTATATTTCAATAACTATGAATAATCATTACTAAGTTTATCTAGATGGGCTGCAATTGCTTCACAATTACCTGGGAGGACAGACAATGAGATAAAGAATCTGTGGAATACTCACCTGAAAAAGCGCCTGCTTTCCATGGGCATTGATCCTCAGACTCATGAACAGTACTCTGACCCCAATGGACTGCTGAGAAGACCAGCTACATCACCTTCAGCGCGTCACTTGGCACAATGGGAAAGTGCTAGGCTTGAAGCTGAGGCTCGTCTTTCCAGAGAGTCCCAATTCTTGGTTCCATCATCAGTCGGAAGGTCTGAGACTGACTATTTTCTGCGCATATGGAACTCAGAGATAGGAGAGTCATTTAGGAAATTCAAGAAAGGAGAAAAAAATGCTTGTCAAAGTCCAGCCTCTCAAGCATCTTCGTGTACAAAGTATGGATCAGCTTCAGGCATTACGACTGAGGTTGAACTCGTTGTTGCTGGTTCACCAGTGACAGGAAGCAACCAAAATGAGTATAAAGAGTGGAAAATTGGCCAACCATATACAGAAGATTTCTTGCAAGGATCAGACACGTCTAGCTCCAACGCCATGGAAGATTCATCTGAATCAGCATTGCAACTTCTTTTGGATTTCCCTAGTAACAATGACATGAGCTTTCTAGGACATGGTGATTCCTATAGCTTGTATCCCTTTTTGAGTGAAAGCTCATGATCTGCCCTTAACCAGAATATGCAGTGTGCTTCTTTCTTTGATATCAGTGGCTCCAAACCGTCGATTTTGAAAAAAATTCTGCTGGTTATTTTAGTAGCTCCAGCTGTGGAAAGAACACATATTCTAACTCTACTATATATTAATGTCATATCAATAGGACTATCTCAGTTCCATCAGAGGAAAAGACAATGCATTTTCCCTCGATATTTTGTAATAGCAATAGTGCTATCATGCAAGATATTTTGTAATAGAAATTCAGGACTATGTTTTGTTTCTATATAAGTCATGCTTACATATTACAGTTTTTATTTTTTTGGCCAACCTGAATAACAGCAAGCAAACAGTAGAAACTTCATGACACAAACTAGGAACACCAAGTGATTCTTGACAACATTTCAACATTGTAGTTTCCAGACATTTTATACATAATCTCAAATACAGTATGAAGTATTAGGAGAAACTTCACGACACTTTAAACTTTCATGAGTGCTTTTCTTACACAAACTACGAAAACTCAATATGTTTGAAACACCCAATAAAGAGCAACAAACATGAAAATTCACAAAAGAGAATGATACATTTCATGGCTTTAACATCCAAGGCACCCAATCTTCTTAGGGGCTTGTCCCGTAGCACGATACTTGGCAGCCATCTCCTCTGCTTTAAGAAGTTCTTCTCCTCGTCTGGCTTCAACCATAGCTCTCTTTTCCTCTGCCTCCATGTGAACTGCAGCTACTCTATTCTTGATCTTCTCTGCATATTCTGCTTTCTTTTGCTCTAGTTGTTCCTGCAAAATTTGTAGGAGGTTATCAACATCATTAAATATTTCTCTTGACAATGATAAATGTCGCATCCTATGCATTACCCATATTTTGGTCAGCATAGGACGACAAAAAACAGTTTCTAAAGTCTTAAGTACCCCGTTTAGCTACTACTAAGGTTTCTCGATATGCTAAAGGAAATAAGAGTCTTTAGATGACAACCTAGCTTGCAGCCAGAATGCGGTGTATCTCATGAAAGAATATCGCAGAATAGTTCAAAATGAGACATCTTCCACAATATATCATGTTTTCAAGTATTTCCATGTTCAACATTATTGAAGAAGCATGTATACTAGATTTCGAGCCTGGTTACCTCAAGTTTCTTCAGTTTAGCTTCAATATTTGCTTTCTTGGTGTTCTCCCATGTTCCAACTGAAGAGAGCTTCTTTTCGGCCCTATTCAATAATAAAGCAAGGTGAAGATGACTTCGGTTATTGAATTGGCAAAAGGCTTTTGAGTATAGATGATTGTATATCAATGTCGGGCTCAAAATTTAGAACATCTCCTAGATTCATTCCACTAGTAAATGAATATCTGTACAAATGTTTGCATTTTGAACCATAAAAGGTGGACTAGAACATGAAAACATGTTTAAGATAACAATAAAAATAATAGAGGATGCAACCAAATGTTGTGCAACTTCAAAAGTGACGATATCCATATAGGGAATGAAGTTTTTGTCTGTACATTTCTCTTGAATAACACAGCAAGTTAGAAATCTTACTTGTTATTCACCTTGCTTTTTTCACTTTCTTCCCATGCCTTGATATAGGAATTCTTTTTCTCTGTTTCAAGGTGTGCGAGAGCAACATCTGGCGGAAAAAAAATGAATGAACTTGTTAACTGCTGAGAGTGAGATGTGACCGGCTCTAACAAACTCATTCCTTTGAGGTATTTTGTCACATAACAGGATAAGCTCCAACCGAAGTTGCCTAAGCAAGCTATTAAATGCATTCTTCATGAAATATTTCAATATGCAACATAAGCACATCCCTATATACTTAGAAAAGTTTCAAGAGCTAATATTGGTGCATACCTCTGTCGAGGGATCCCTTTGAACTTTTCTTTGTAGAAGAGTCAGGCTCTGCCAAAATCAGTAAATGAGAATATATCATCAGTCGCGGAATATTTCCCTCGAGACACAAGCAGTTCATATATGTGCTTTCTCTACAACTTTTCAATCAGAAATTAGTAACAAAAATTACAGAACTTCAAGAATGTGATCAGCTAAGTTAACACCAATGATGCCCCCAAGGCCTAGCTCGAGTGGCAAAAGGTGGAGGATTTGCAGCTTAGGTCGCAGGTTCAAGCCCCACACCACGCAAAGCGAAGCCAGGTATTTAAACCCATTATACACCGAGTTTAGAAGCCTGTGATTGGTCCAAAGGGCGGGTCACAGACAGATTTCTCAGTTATAAAAAAAAAGAAAAAGTTAACACCAATGATCTGTTTGAAATGCATCAAATTTTCATCATAACAATACTAGGAGATACTATTATCAACTTTCTATTTAAATGAAGGTTAGTATCCGAGTCCGTTTGTGTGCACCTCGATTATTCCATGTGGTACCTGCTATCCTACAAGTGCGGGTACCAAGTGACTCTACAGTAGGTATCACCTACCCGCCTTCACTACAATCATTATCTACCAATGATTCCCAGAGTACCAATTCTTTTGATTAAGGTAAACCAGAGTGGCCATCCACAAATTCTATTGATTAAAGTTTAAACCAGACTGTCCATCCACTAATTCTATTGATTAAAGTTTAAACCAGACTGGCCATCCACTAATTAAGCAAGGCATCTAAGCATATTGATTTATTTTTGCCAAAAAGTAAAGGAGAGATATTGGACCTATTAATGATCTTTAAAAAACAGTATACCAGGTCTTTCCAATAATTCAAAAGTTGTTAGGAGTATACAGGCATCAAAATTAGTTAAGTCCAGCCAGATAGGAACAATAATAGAATTAGATGCCTCAACTGAAAATAGATCAATTAATAAAAACAAACCAAACACAACTCCATCTTCAAGAATTTCAAATAAAGCGAAAAAATACTTGTAATAATATGTAGTAGCTGTATATGGGATCAAAATTCAAATCTATGATATTATATGACTATCTATTTTGAGATATTACTGTTTTAGATAAAATTTGATTGCATGTTGAGGTAAATTAGTAGAGTTAGATGATTTTGCTAGTTTTTAGAAATTGTGAGGTATAAACCATATTTTTTAATATTCTTTGCAAAAAGTATGGCAAAGCGAACTTCAACTTTGAAAATTCCAAATAAAGTGAATATTTTAATTTTCATATAAGCTATAACTCTATCATTTAATCATGATTAATTAATGTATATTTTTACCTCGATATATTACCTAATCAACCATGTTTAACTGATTTTTGTCTGCTGAAAAATTAACCTAAAACAGAATCGGGCAGTAAAAAAGTTCATCTTTGGATGCTTTCTTTGTGATCTTCATATATTCAACAGAAACTTCAAACTTGTCCTTATTATCAAACTTCTCCAAGCATAATAAAAAGAATTAAGGTAATACAAAGGTTTAAACCAAAAATTTAGAAGAATCTTAGCAATTCAGTTGATTGGCAAATATACCTACTTAAACTTTTACCTTCATATTGGTGAAAGTTCGATTAGAAAAATATCAATAGTTCAATTGGTTGGCTACGTACCTACTTAAACTTTTACCTTCATATTGGTGAAGGTTCGATTAGAAGAATCTCACAGTAGCTCAATTGGTTGGCTACCTACTCAAACTTTTACCTTATTGATGATAAGGGTTCGATTCTCCACCCCATTTCCAATATAGTGTTTTAGACCAACGATTTAACAATGAATAAACGAAATAAAAGATATCTATAGGGATATATATATAGGTCATACCAATATTTAACAGGCACAAATTGGAGTTTTAGAATTTGACAATAATAAAAACAGAGTTATATAGAGCTTTAGAATTTGAGGAATAATTACTTGTTGGAGGAAGAGTAGCAAGAGCTTTAGAGTCATCAGTTTTGGCCATGGCAGGAGGAGGTGGTAATTCTGGTTGAGGTTGAGCTGCAACTGCAGTAGCTTCTGTCATTCTTATAATTGAAATTAAATGTATGTATATAGTGAAAGAAGAAGGAATCAATCAACAAAAGGGAAATGGAAACTAATATCTGGAGATTCCAACTTTTTGTTGGATAGGTTAAAAAGAAAGGAAAAAGAGAGTAGTAGTGAAGAAAATTGGATAATTTGGTATCAATGAATCAACGGAAGCAGTGTTGGGGACGTGTCCGCATGTGGGACTGTCGGCAGACTTCCCTATTACGTTTATAATACAACTCACTCCCAGAGTCCCTGTCAATTTAATTTTCTTAATTAATTGAACATAACAAGAAAATATATACCTTATTATATATGTTTTATAGCTTGATTTATCAAAAAGTTAAAAAAAAATTTAAAAAAAAATTATGATCTAAAATACTAAGTGATAAAAATATGTATGGTCCGGGCCGGATCAACCCTTGGGTAAGGGGTGTCAAGTGATAGTGACAGAGAGGCGTATTCAGGATTTTAAGATGATAGGTGTATTATTTCGAAAATATGGTAAGATATAAATTTGATCGGTATAATATTTAGATTCTTATCACTGAAAATCATTTAAAAAATTAATTTATAGGTCTAAAATTATTTTTTATATATCCAAATCACTTAGAGAGGTATTACCGAATTTTAGAAAGGAAAATAAAACAAGATAAATAAAAGATTCAAATTTGTAGCCTCACTTAGAGAGGTGCGCCCAATCACCATCGCACGACATTATATGATACTTCAAGTGTAGATTCACACATCTATGTTTAATTTTTTTTATAAAGAAATATAACACTACTATATATATGAACCCTTCGGGGTGGCCTAGTGATTTGGGCTTGGGACTTCCATGTTGGAGGTATTGAGTTCAAAACCCCTTGCCAGCGAAAGCAAGGAGTTTGCCTTTTGGGTCTAGCTCGTCGCACCGGACTTTCCTAGTGCGGATTACCTCTCCTATGTGGTTTGCGAGCTATTGCATAGGAGCGAAAATTTTACCCTATATAGAGGTCAAATTTTGGCTATATATATAAACATATTGATATCTCTCGACACAAGTTAAAAGTTTAGTCAAGTGGTTAGGTGTTATGAAAATTTCTTGGTCCTATTAAATTCATAAATTATATTTTTACTACAATCATTGACACCCTTAATAACAATCATGGGTCAGCGAAAAAGAAGAAGAAGAAGAAGGTAAGTCATATGAGACAGAGGGTATAAAATTGGAAAATTTATGTAACAATATTGAAAGAGACCCTTTATTTTTAGAGTGATTAAAAAGGGAAGTAACGAAGGGAGTGGACTACTATAGGAGTATAGGATAACGAAATTCAATTAGCCTTCAAATATTTGTATTAGTAATAAATACTAGCTAGAGTTGTCAATTTTACGTGAAACATATGCTAAACTACTCTCTCAAATTTCGATTGAGTTAAAAAGGTGTTCGATTGGTCAAATCAATTTTTAAGTGGTTTTCAGAGTATTAGGATATTTTTAAAATGTTTTTTTTTAAAAAGTCAAAAGTTAAAAATAGATACCCCATTTTTCATATTTTTTTTCCCTTAAAAGTTATTAAAATTTGTCTTTTTAAAAAATATTTTAAGAATTTATTTTTTATAAGTTAAGTCAAACGGACCTTTAAAGTGTGTGAGGGTGTAAAATAGTTCAAAATGGATTTTAACTAGTAATAATTCTAACAAGCTGTGTTGATTATATGATTTTTTTTTAATTCTACCCACGTCAATATTAGATTACTGATCATAGTTTAATTATTTTTACAGTAACTACAACTAATCCTAAATCCTAATTCATAATTTTGTTATCTGATAATGAAGAAAGCTGTGCTTAAAAGTTCATATATGCGCAATTTAGTTAAATTATTAAAAAAATAAAGAATACAATAAAATGGATACAATTCTTTTTAAACTAATTATAACGATAAATTGTTTGAAACAAGAAAAAACAATAAAATTAAGTTGGACTTGGACCCGGTACTTTTACTTTATTAGAACACATAATCATTATTAAGTACCCTATATAGTAATTGTTATCATATTAATTTTGACCAAACTGTCTACATATATATAGATTGAACCCACAAATTAGTAGGTAGACTCAAGCTAATAATTAGTATACCCTATAGTAGCTAAATACTCCAATAGTCAAATTAATTGTCCCGTTTTACATTTTGAGAATCAACGTTTTATTTTTTTAAAACTATTTTTGAAAAAATTCACATAACTTAGAAATTAAACGAGGTCAAATATTGAAGATTGTTGAGTTTTAAGCTTAATATACAACTTCTTTATCGATTGGTGAAGATTTGTCCACTTGAGGATGGAACCTCCTTTTGACGACAAAGTTTCCTATTACGTTAGCTAGTTATACTTTTAATTAGGGGTGTACATGATCGGATTGGTTCGATTTTTTCACATATCAAACCAAATAATTTGTGTAAAAAAATTTAATTTATAAACCCAACCAAACTAATAAAATTTGGATTTTTCGGGTTTTTCAAATACCAAACCAAACCATTGTGTCGAATTTTTATTAATTTATAAATCAAACCAAACTAATAAACCTCAGATTTTTTCAATTTTTTGGATTTTTTCGGTAAAGCTTGCATACAAACATATAATTTTACTTGTGCTCCAAATATTTCTTTAGTCCAACCAAAATAAATATTGCAAAGTCATAATGAAAATGATCATAATTTAAAAGTACTAAATCATGCTAAAATAAGTTTAACAAGTATTAGTTACATTACTAAATATTTAAGAAAAATTAAAATTAGATTATGTATTTTAATTGTCTAAACCAATGTAAAACTAAAAAATAAATATTTAATATTATTGTCATTCTTAGTGTTGAATTGATTTTCTTTTTGCATTAGTATTAATTTGATTTTGATTTAAGTTTTATTATAATTATCAACATCTATGAACTATAATCTTTATTGGACCATTCCGAATTCTAAGTTTTAAACTTGAAATAATATATTAAAAGATAAAAACTATGAAATAGTATAAGAAATATTTTAAAATTATATCAAAGTAAATATTTTTATGCATAAAATGAAATTTTAAAATTACATATATAATGTCGGGTTGGTTTGGTCTCAGGTTGTTTTTTTTTAGTTAAAACCAAATCAACCCAAATATAGTCGGGTTTTTTTTTTTCCAATACCAAACCAAGTCAAACCAAACCACTAGTCGGATTTTTTTTGATTTGACTCGATTTGCGATTTGATTCGATTTTCGATTTGGTTTTGTACACCCCTACTTTTAATTATTATTTTTCAGATATTTTTAATTTTCATTCATTTTTGTTTGTCTAGATACAAAATATATTTATGGTAATTGATTTTTAACTTTCAACAAGTCTCTTACAAAAGTTTTCATGTTTAGTGCGTAGTTTCTATATTTCTAGTTTTATATTACAAAAGCTTGTTAAATTTTAGGATACTAGTTTTCGTACATGTGTGTTGTATGTGTATTTTATGTTAATTAGTATAAATTTTTTTAAAAATAAGAAATAAAATAAAAATTATGCAGATGTAAGAATTTCAAAAGAAAACCAAGCAAAATAAGTCACGTAATTCATATAAAACAAAATCTAAAGATTAAAGATGCAAATAATGAACAAAAAAGAGCAAAAGAGAATAAAAAATTATTAAAAGCAAAACAGAGGTTTTGCACAACTTAAAAGGAAAGTTAATTGAAAAAACTAATCTAAAAAAGAATATGTTTTTATCCCAAAAAGTATTTTGAACATTTTAAAGAACAAAGCATTATAATAAATTGTCAATAAATCAAAGGCTAAAACTATTAATTTTATAGAAGTCAAAAGGATATGAAAAATTTCTTAACTGATGGAAACTAAAAAGAAGTAGAAGACAAAAGAGATTTGTAATGTCATAACTGAAAGAATTAAAGTACAACTCTTGAAATTCAAATTATGTAATTAACATATTATTATTTAATTAGATATTTAATCATTTTAATTAAGTGGAAGGGTTAAATAGTAATTCAGCTTTGACGTAAGGAGCTCCCTATTTTTAGTAATAGTCATAATAATAATAGTAATAATAGTAGTAATAAATATAATATAAATGATGATATGATATATTTATGTTGAAATATTCTTAAAGATAATATTTTGACACGCTTCAAGTTACCAAAAAAAAGTTCTCTACAAATTATGTGATCAAGTCCTTTAAATTTTGAGCTTATTTTGTTTATTTATGCTGATTGTTTAACATTGAATTTGTTTGTTTATTCACGTGGCTGTAGTGTTGCCGTTGATTGATTTTTGTACATCAAACAATTTAACAAGGAGTGGTCGTCGTTGTCAAATCATGAAGAATCCATCATTTTCTTTAATTTACTCGTCTTTTCCCCCCATTTCCTTTACTCGCTTTAGAAAGAAAAACTATGTATATGGAGTTATGGACCCACTCCAACAAATACCATCAACTATTATAAGTCATGAAACAAGAATTTCAGGTTCGAGTTTTCTTAGATTTTGGAGTCATTTTTATTAGAGATAAATGTCAAAAACACAGTCAAATTATTCCATTTTTTTGAGTTTCATACCTAAACTATCACTTTTTAGTTTGAGAAACACATCTCAATGGTGTGTGTAATACATTCTTTCTTTTATTTGAAAAAACTTTGACACATGACATTCCACATGGATAAAATATTCCACTTTGACAAAAACTAAATAATAAATTATTAATATTAATTAAAAATTAAAGATTAAAATATTACTATCCATAAAAAAATAAAATTTAAATTATTTTTCTTACTTCACTCCACCACCTCCTCCATGTACCCCCTCCCCCCCCACGATCCCCTTTTTTTTTAAAAAGTCTTTTATAAAATATTTTTTAAAAATTCATACTTCACCTTCCCTCCCAAAAAGAAAACCACCCACTCATCCCCCCACCCCCACCCCCACCCCCCCAAAAAAAATTGCTATTATTTTATTTTTATAAAAATAAAAATTCTAACCCATCCTATTTAACTCTCCGCTCCTAATTTTATTTTTTTCACATTTTTCTCATTTTGTGTTAGATATGTACGTATATATATTTTTAGGAAAAAAATTTCTACTAGTGTACCGAACATAACATAAATAAATAATAAAAAAAAAGACTTGAGGTGGGGTGGGTAGAATTATTTTTTTTTAAAAAATAAAATAATATCTCTAAATTAGTATTTG